CGGGCTGGCACTGTGATGACCTTGGTGAGGACTTGACGAGCGGACTGCTGATTCGGGAGATTCGGAAGACGACATTACATATTCAAATGCATTTCATAACTCAAACAGCTTTGAAATTATTTCTATCACGGCCAGAAGACAACTCATAAAACCAACATGCCCTTTCATCAGGGACGTCGACACCGGTCCGACTTTTCCGACTAGTCGGACCACTTTTTCGACTAGGCGGTGCCCTGCTGTGGCTCGCGGGGGCCCTGCTGTGGCCGCGGGGGCCCCTGTTGGGGCTCTCGGGGGCCCAGCTGCGGCCACGGGGGCCCCTGCCTAACCTAACCTAACCTAACACCTGGGGGCCCCCACCGGTGGGGGCCCCCCGAGAAAAAGTCGGACCAGTTTTCCTTACGCGTCGACGCCCCTGCCTTTCATAAATCCATAAAGCTAAAAATGAACCCAATGCGTTCTCCAGAAACCGTAGTATTGATCAGATTTTTAGCCAACTGGCGCCGCATGGTGGCGCTAGCAGAGCGTATTATACATATAGCGCTCTACTAGCGCCATCATACGGCAGCAGCTGGCAAAAAACTGAGTCAATACCAATGCCCTTCTCCAAGGCCAATGATTCCGTGTTGATGTGAAAATGGCGCATTTGAGCGTCATATATGCTATACCTTACGCACGCTAATCTACTGCAAAAAGGTTACAATTTTGGAACAGGTTTGGGAAGAAATCAGGTAAGTCTCAGAACCCTTGGTATTTATTCTATGTCTAGGTACTAACAACAAAATTTAGTTTGTTTTCTACGTTAATAAATTGGCACTTAAGTCATGATCGGGGCATTCCACGTCAAGTGGGACAAAAAATGACCATTTTGAACCTCACCTCCTCCGATTTTTGCGAAACTTGGTGAAACTACTTATCTATAAGTGAAAAGAAAGGAGACATTTTTTTGTCAAGATATGACGTCACGTTTCCGAGATACACGTCATCAAACATTGACTTAGGCAAGGCACATTATCATCTTTAAAGCGTAATAACCATTGAAGTTTTAGACATATCACCACGAGACAAAGTGTGAAATGGGGGGAATAGATCAGGCTTCAATTTGAGGATAACAATATTGACGTCATTAACTACTTAGTGAACTTAATTAAAGTTCAAAAAATAAATTTTGATTTTCTGAAAATTGGGTACCCTTCGATTTTGCTGATTTTTACATATTTTATTCTCCTATACATTAGCTACATCATATAAAAAATCCAGAATGGGCCGACGTCTACGTAACTGTCTTTTGGACTTCGTAATGTCTGGCACTCGCGTGTTTCGTTTTAGCAACCAAGGAGAGGCGCTTCCAGAAGATGCTTCTTTCTACCCAAAACCAAAGCAAACCTAACGTGACCTGACGTGACCTGACCTAATCTAACACGCGTAAATATATACAGCCCTCACGGCAGTTGCCGACTGGCCAAATGCTACTTAGATACGAACATTAGCCCTCACGACATTTGGCGGCTGGCCAGATGCTACTTAAAAAACGAATGCGTGTTAAAACACTAGAGGCTGACCGGCTGCGAGGCAGCGACCTTTAGATTACGAGGTGGGTACACTCGGCACACTAACTACTGTCTACTAAGCCATGAAGATAGGTGGTCATCGCGGAGATGTAAGCCAGTTTTTTATGATGCCATTAGGCATTCTCCGGGCAGCGCCTCTCTTTGGTTGCAAAAAGGAAATACGCCTGACTCTCCCAGCGTTAGGGGAGAAAGGCCCGGTTTAGCCAAAAAGGTATTTAAAAAAAACGGAATTCGATTTGTAAGTGGGGCGGTGGGGAACTTTATCGTGTGCCAATTTCATGGCCCTAGGTCAATATCTTCAAGATCAAATGAGCTTAAACGTGATCAAATTTGCTATACTGACTATTTTGCGTTTATACGCCCATAGCTCTAAGAGTTACTGGCCGATTTTCCTATTTCTTCCTTTATACGACATTTGTAGTGTTATTAGAATCTCTAGTTAATCTAACTGTAAATTTGGTAGTTAGTGCCCTGATAAGAGTAAGATGTCGCCGGCAGAGGCGGGGATCGGCCGACGCGGGAAACGTTTCAGTCAAAGATTGTGTTTGCACCCTAATAATTCAATTTTTACCAGTTGATTTTCATATTCATTTGACCATTAGATTGCGTGTACATTTTTAAGCCTTCACACAAAATTTGACACGAATCGATCATAATCAGCGGTAAGAAGCGCAGTGCAAAGACGGAACAGTCCCGCGCCGGCACAGTCTACCATTCAGGCGGCAACGGCCGGCGCCGGCCGCCGCGCCGCTTCAGCAATATGTTTGACTTTACACCGCTATTACTAGAAGAGTTGTGGACCGATTTACCTATTGCTTGCACGGGAGGATTTGCAATTCAATTCTTGACAGATACTGAAAGTTTGACGTTAATATAATAATTATGGCGTGAGACATTGGCGAAAAACAGGTGGGGTTGGCGAAATCCGCCCCTTCCATCGGCCGTGCTACGTTGCACTACTTGTTGCTATATCATCCAAAGTTATCGTTGGCCCACTCTAATTTTCTCAGCACGTGTGCGTTACGTGTAGTGGAAGACAATATCTAAATTTGAGCAAAATCGAAGGGTACCCATTTTTCACAAATTAGATTTTAAGAAATTAAATCAAAATAAAATAAATTCAAAATCACCAAAAAATGTAAAAGTTGCCAAATTTAACTAGCATAACTCCTTATGTACACGTTTCAGTTTGTTTGAAATCAATAGCTTCAAAAATGTTGAAGCTATAGATCTTTGAAGATTGCAATACACGTCCAATTCTGCTAAAAAAGCAGAAGTTTAGCGGCTTGTATCTCTGTAGCCCGAGGGCATATGACAAAATCCTTTCACCCTCAGAGGTTTCACCCAATAGGCAATAAGTATACCAAGTTTGAACAAAATTGCAGAGGTGACCGATTTTGGCTGTCCCGGTTGACATGGAATGCCCCGATCGCAACCTTGCAGTGCTTAAAAGTTTATTGCCATTTGCCATTACGATTTTGCAGTACTTTAACCCTAACAAAATTTTGCAGTGATTTAACGCCTGTTTTGTCCCTGAATTGCTATCGTGTCGACATTTCTGGCGGACCTCACAAAGTTTTGATGTTTCTATTTTGATTTTGAATGTTTTCTCGTTTGGGGCCTTGGATAGTTGATAATATTTGTAAGGACTAATGAAATAATTCTAAAAACGAATATCTTTTACCAAGAATATCAGAAAAGGTATGTATCAGTATGTTATCTTGTTCCATGTTGATGTTAGGTTCTGACTCTGGTGAAGGTACTGCTCCATGGATCCCCAGTTCACATCATTTTTAGCAGCTGTAGTAAAAGTGGCTTAGGTTAGCATGAAATTCATTGGTCTACTTACTTCTTATATTCTTAAATATGACCTGAATCTGGTTCTAAAATACAAACTGTGAAGCGAAGTGAAATGACCATGGCATGAGTTTTTTACTTTGCAACACAAGCATGCCCAATTTGAAAGAAACTATTTTCTTCTTGCTATACCTACAACTGTACACAATTTTCATAATGAATTTCGGGAACGGGTCCATCTGGTTCCAACGCTGATTTAGACCGGGTCTGACCGGTTCCAGAAATGTGCCAGTCAGACCGGGTCCGGGTCCGGGTCCCAAAATTTTCCAGTTTTGCCACCTCTAATCTATATCTACATCTCTCTCTCAGGTGGATCTCATCACCATCTGGATCCCGCTCTATAGCTATTTCAGGATCTCTTCAACGACTCTCAAGTTCCCCATCACCAGCTCTACTATCGAGTCATTACAGCAGCAAATAGTTCTCTGTTCTTCTACAACTAGCTGAACGACAACGGACCACGCTGCATGATGAACCGCAAGATGCAGCTCTTTAACCCTTCTTTTCGTTAATCCCCTCGCTACACTTTTCAAGCTGATGTGGCGGTCAGGAAAGTGCCCCTCCAGCCATTCCAGCGACCCTTTGGCGGTGTGAGGTGGCGCCCCGTCCTGTTGAAACCATTTTTCATGGCGACGGAGGAGCACTTTCCTGACCGCTACATCAGCTTGAAAAGCGCGGTGGAATGGGCTCCCCACTCGCCCGACCTCAGTCCTCTAGATTTCTTCTTGTGGGGCTTTGTCAAGGACTGTGCGTACGCCGGCAATCCAGGGTCGACCCAGGAGCTGAAAGACGCCATCACGACGAGATCCGTCGCCTTCCTTCCCACATGGTAGTCAACTGTCAAGACGATCACCCACCTCCAGTCTGCCGGCGGTGGCCCGACGTAAAGGGGCTCATATAGAGCAGTTGCTCTAGACGGCACACGCTGCTCAGCAAAGTGCCGAGCACAGCTGAGAGGTATAGCAAATGTTTTGCCATTGATTTGGCTCACAAACGAGGGCATTTGATTGTGAGTGTGATGTGTTTAAGATAAAATTATGGAGAAAAGTCTGGTTACACTTTTGACGTGGACACCCTCAGACATGTGCATGGATCCGAGAAAATGGATCTGAGATCTGATCCCACGGATCCTGATCTCGGATCCGACGGGATCATAGATCCAGCACTGTAATTTATCGAGAGATCCGTAGGGATCACAGATCCGAGCCTCATTTTTTTGCTTGAGATCCAGTGAGATCATAGATCCTTACTTATTTTTTCCAACACATATATCCCAAAAAAAGCACTTGTTTTAACTCACAAACGTTCTGTTTTAGTGATTTTATGTGATCGCACGTCATAATCCATAACTTTGTGCCACTTATTGGCATAGAAACCCTTTAAAACATGGTTTCCAATGTGGTGCATTAATTGGTGGCAGCCGGCTGTGGGACGGAGCTGGTGCAGCCGGCTGTGGGACGGAGCTGGTGGCAGCCGGCTGTGGGACGGAGCTGGTGGCAGCCGGCTGTGGGACGGAGCTGGTGGGAGCCGGCTGCCGGAGGGAGCTGGTGCCGGGACTGCCGCAGCGGGACTCACCAGCAGCGAGACGCCACCTGGCAGCCGGTCGAGTGCGCCCGTCAGTGGCGCTGGGCTGGCGGTCAGCAGTTGCAGCGCACCCGCCGGCAGGCGCGCAACCGCCTGCGTGTGCACCACCACGGCCAGCGCAGCCACGGCCTCGGCCGCCAGCGGCCCGTCAACGCCCTGCCGACACGGCGCCGCCTCAGTCAGACACGGCGCTCAACACGCCTGATCAGCAGCAAACACATGACAAGTATGAAAACAAGCCCCTGTACATATGTTTAGGCAAGTCACTCTGTAAAGCGCCCAGTGCTACGACGGAGTAATTGCTCATCACCAGATCGGGAGCGCAGTAGATATTTGCCTGTATAAAATCAAAACGTCTGTACGTATGCAGGGGGCGTCGAAGTCTAGTAGGAAAATCTGGCAATCCCCGGCGTGACGTAACGTCGGGGATGACCGACGGCACCTTGCACTGAAAGATACGGCAGAACGGCTATTTTTGAAAAAAAAAATGATTAAAAATACTTTTGTGCTGTTATGACACATAAAATGCTTATCAGCATGTTCCTAATCATGTGATAAAGCTATATCCGTGGTCGAAAATAGCTGAGCCCCTCCCAATTTCCAACCACCGACCTCATAAGCAAAGGATGTAAGCGTAATCCTTAAGGGCGACTTTCCTATACATCTCCGTACATATGCGTCCTTATGGAAATCGGTAGTGTGGCGATTGGCGACGCGCGCGACATCTGTGTGGCGACCAAGTGGCGACTGTGGCGACACCTGGTGGCTGCTTTTCTGCTGTATGTAGGTATTGGGGTTTTGCCAGATATGGTTCCTACTGCTACACCACTAGGGGAAAGTGGGGTAAGACGGGCACCTTAACTTTGGAGCCATTTTTCGGCCGGTTAGAAACATCATAGAAACGGGAAACTGGGTGAAAACCTTTTTCAGACATTTTACTTTCATTTGCCAGAAGATGAGACTTAGACCTGATTCAACAAATAAACTGCAGCTATTTTTGCAAAACCTTGCAAAAACCCGTCTTACCCCACCCCATGGGGTAAGACGGTCACATGGGTAGGGCAAGACGGCCAGCTTCTTTCACCGATCAGCGCAGCTCGCAACAAATGCCCGAGATTAGCCGCATTTATACAGTCGCTCGTTGGTCTCAAGTGCTTCGGAAATGGCAGTATACGAGATTCGTGCAGAAGGCGTATGCTCCTATATAGGCCCTAGTTCAGAAGCCATGTAGAACCGTTTTTCACATTCATTATTCGAGAATAAACTGTGCCGAAGGAATATTGCTAACATGTCTGTGAGTATCGGAATCGAACATATTCTTATTAGAAATGCTTCTTTTTTCCTACAGCAACAAAAATATTTTCACCATTACAGACCCATTGGGTTCATAGTTGCCCGTCTTACCCCAAACTCAATGTCAGAAGTTCAGCACGATTTTTCGCTGTGGACAATTTGATGCAGACAAAGCAAATCCGCCGTAAATGAACACTGTTGGCATATGAGTGTACCACAAGTGATTGCGAGTTTTTAACTCTATAGTGCTGTACACAAAAGCTTGCACAATACATTATGGATGTTTTCAATGAAATGAGTGTTTTAAAGAAATCAAAATAAAAGATTATCGACTGAACACAAATTCACCAGACTTGAATGGTGGTGTGTAGTGGGAAAGGCAATTCTGGTCCTAACTTTTCTTGCTCGTAGCGCTATTGGTTTGGTCTGCAGAAGGGGTGCCCGTCTTACCTACCCTGACCGTCTTACCCCACTTTCCCCTATGTGTTGACCCAATACTAGAAAGTTATTTTGCCAGTAAAAGGCAAGCGAATTGAAAGTCAATTTATAAAATTGCTTATAAATGATAACGGGAAAATAATTAAGAAGTTTAGATTGAATAGTTATTTAAATACCCAACCGTGAAACTTTATTCTGGTAGGTTTAGTAGAAATTAGTCCGTGCAACCTTGTATTTACAGGGTGGAAAGTAATTACGCGAACATGTATTTTCTTACAATTTTGACCGTCAGTGGAGCATTTTTATGAGTACGGGCTGTCATGGAACATAATTGGTCGTGTTTGTTGTCGCCTCATCTACCAAAAGTGACCTAACTTTGAACAATGACCTGGAAGGTCTTAAACACCTCTCGACTTAAAATGGTGCAGACACCATACGCTGCACAAGACCGAAATGGGCAAAGAGCTCAATTTGGAGCTCCCAGGGAAAGCGTTTGTGATTATTTTCGCTGGACTGGCGGAGAAGGGATTCGTAGCGGTCTCAGCACCAGCATTGCACAATCATATGTTTTTTTTTTTAACATAATAACACTTGAGAGGACTTAAAAAGCAAAGCCGTCCGCGGCAGCAACCCCTCGGCGAATTCTGTCGCCGGACGGGTGGTCACCACGTCGGCGACAAAACGACGCCAGTCGACCCGAAAACTGGCAAAATAGCTTACTCTGGCCGGGTACCCGATCTAGGATATCACGATTAGCACATTAATACACAAAAATTCGAAAATTAAGTGATACAAACCCTCGGGATGACCAAAATTCACGAATTAACAGCAGAATTGTTAATTGAAGCTTTTCAAAGACAATCAAAGATGGACAGAGGAGGACAGGCAGCTGGATTTGTGGTTGGGTGAGACATCTGTGAAACTGTTTCATCCGTCAAACCTGCAGAACAACTGCTCTGAGGGCTGCTGTTGCGTCCTATGTCCCGTCCGTCCCAACCTTCAAACATCCGGCAAAGGAACACATCAGTGGGTCACGAGCCCCCGGGTGGTGTCAGAATTGCGTGTAGCGCTAAAAAAGGTCACTAAAAATAAAGTATTCAACCGGTGGAACATCCTCCAAGACGAGTGTCTCTGTCTAATCCACCGTGCAACGAAAGGGGCAAAATGATTGAGCGCACTTTTGTGCCCGACGCAAAGAAACTGCGCTTCGTGATTGGTGAAATCCTTACTTTCACGGCCAACAAAACGCAATACTGGTGCTGTGAGAACCTGTTTTTCTTCAGGACATACAAAAGCTGATCTGGGAAACGCCTGGGCCTCAATTCGATTAAAAATATCCAGATGACTCCTCAGGAGACCGTCTAAAAGCTGCAAGGAGCCACCTATACCGATTTCCTCACTGGACAGCTTCATAAGGTGTGGGCTGAGCTTTGGCCAACAGATCTTCACATGCTGATGTAAATCATGCCGGAACGCCTATGTCAATGCATCGCAACTAGATAAGGATAAAGTAAAACATATATTGTTTATGTCACCGCCGTTTTTTTCATTACTAGAAGACGAAAAAGTATGTTCGCGTAATTACTTTCCACCCTGTAGGGCCTTGTACGTACCTATGTATGTATGTTTGTAACGCGTCAGTTCCCTTTGGCGGGCTATTGCTCCAGAACGGTGCGGGCTACGGGGTTGAAATTTTTGCGCCGAGTCGGGCGCGTGCAACCATTTGTCGTATTAAATTTTGGTAGGGGTGGGTTCGATGGTGTGCACGTGGCGGGCGCATCTTTGCGGCATTTTGGGCCGCGGCCGGCTCCGAACAGAGAGCACGCGCCGTAGGCTCAGTTTCTTCGCTTACAAAACTGAGCGAAATCAGAGCCGGCGGGTCACTGACCTTTGCCAATGAACACCGGCGCAGGCACCGCCGGCCAAGAGGAGACGCCAAATTTATTCTTGCAATAACTCAGCCGCTACTGGGCCGATTTTATTGACAGGGGCGCCGCCACCACTACGTACAGTACGTACACTGTACGTAGTGCAATTTTTGACTTGGAAATCCACTACGTACAGTACGTACTGCTCAAAATGTGAAAAATAGTTAATTTATTTTAAAAAGTTTTTAATTACGTTTTTTTTAAGTTTTTTAATTGAAAAAAAAACACCAAACTTCAGTTTGTTTTGACCAGTTTTGACATACCAAAATTACATTTGTCATTTTGAACTGCTTAAAAATAAGGTACGCTCTTGTTGCCATAACAACTAGGAAGCTTGGCAGCTTGGCTCAACCAGGGCACTAAAGAGTCTAAAGGGCTCAACCATGGGAATGAACCGCGCCGAGCAAGCGCCGAGCGTGGTGTAGAGTTTTAGGGCCTTGGTGTAGAGGCCTTTTGTACGTGATTGATTGCTCATAATGATATAGGGCTTGGGTGGTAGCAAGGTCAGCAAGGTGGTAGTGATCACAGATCTGCAGAGTAGAAGAGTGGAGTGCTAGAAGTTGTTTATTTCGACGTGTCCGTTGACCATAGGCGTAGGAACAGGGGGCGGGGGGCCATGCCCCCCCCCCCCACTTTCGGAGGTGGGGGCCCCGGGCCAGCAATGTTAACTGCCCCCCCCCCCCCACTTCGATAGGCGTTATCCCAAGTGTATTCGCGGCCATTGGGGCGACGTAAGAAAAGAAGAAAACAACTGGCTCCAAGAACTTTAAATTATCAGTTAGCATGCATCTTTTCCTTGATCTGTAGAGAATTTACCATTAATTGCTAGAGAAAATTGCATTTAAAATCTTCCATCTATGCTTTTTTCATCGTTTGCACAATATGTTCTTTTATTAAGCTAGAAATACTAATTAGAAATAGTTCCCGCATCATCAAGAACAATAGGGAAGGCTTGAAGTGAATACAATAATCTAAACGGTGTTGTAATCTATATAAAGACACTTTTAAAATTGCCTGTAGAAATATTGAAGGCAAAAGTTCAACTTTTTCACAAGACGGATGTCTATAAACCTATTCAACGTGTGACAACTCAGCCGGTATTTCGTCGCCTACAGCCCAGCTTTCCCTATTGACCGATAGAGGCGCTGCTATCGATGTCCGCCCGTGCCGCCTAACGTTTTGCTGACTTTAGTGTCTGTCTGTAAGTTCCTACCACCCGGTACCCTAATTAGCCTTCGCCCCAGTGGGGGGGGGGGGCATATGTTACCACCCTGTCGCGTTTTTTGCGTGTGAATAAAAAACCGCGGCGCGTAGCACCGCGCCGCTTGGGGTAGCTTTTGGTACATCAATTTTGGACAATGTGTGAAATTTTTGACCCCAGGTCATGTCAGGTCAGGTCACCAGGTCAAGTTAACTGACAAAGCCTAAAAAAAGTTTGCAATCATGTCCAGCCTGCAGTGTTTGTCAGAAAGGTTTCAAACTTGGTGGATTGCATGC